TAACTGATAATTTGGCTACCAAAAGCTTGACTACATATTTTTACCAATTTTGATTGATCTGATAATTCATTTATACTTTTTAACATAAAATTATCCAACTTAACACTCTACAATATTATTAATATAATTAATTAATAACAATTACTCATTCTCAATATTATTTCAGCTTGAATTTATTATTCAATCGCTCCATATTTTTAAATATCAAGAAACTCTTTTCTATTTTATATCAATCAATATTAATGAAAATTAACACACTTCATCCAATAACAAAAAAAAAAGGAGTTTTTTTCAATAGAAGGCATAAAACATAGGTAAACTATCACATCGGGACTAAAAGATTTTTTTTTTCTCAATTCGGACTATCAAATTAAGTCCTAGAATTAACAAAACACATAACACCATTAAATTAAGAGTTAATTTGAAGTTTTCAAACACCAAATCTGTTACAAAATAAAAAAAAAAAGATAAAAAATAAAAATGAAGAAAATTAATGAAAATACGAGATTGTTGGAGAAAAATTAAGGAAAGTATGAAGCTCTTGCTCGATTTCTTGCTATCTATTTCTTTTTTTTTTGGAAACATTATGCAAATGTTTACTTAATATTTTATGTGAGTAAGCACCAATCTTGTCATTTTTTTTTTTAACTCTCAATTTAATGGTGTTGTGTATTTTGTTAATTCTAGTACTTAATTTGATAGTTTTATAACATTTAAGTCCCAAAATTAAGAAAAAAAAAAATCTTTCAGACCCCGTTTTGATAGTTTACCCATCTTTTAAGTAGACGTGGCCAGGTGTCGGGTCCGGGCCCGTCCCGGCCCGGCTCGCCGGGCCACGGGCCCTCAAACAGCCGAATCGCAACCGGCCCGCTAGGAACGAAGGGCCGGTTCATAGAATCGGTCCGAACCGCCGGTTCACAAGCCGGTACGGCCCTTAAAAAAAGCAAAAAAATTGGCCCGACCCAGCCCGGCCCGCCGGGACAAAAAAAAAAAAAAACCGTGACCCTTAACCGGACCGGATTGGTCGCGGTCCGGTTCTCGAACCCGGCACTATTCATGCCGGTACCGGTACTGGATCGGTCCGGTACCGGGTCACGGGTCAGGCCACGGGCCGGGCCACGGGCCGGGCCGCCTGTGGCCATGTCTACTTTCAAGGTTTTGTATGGAAGAAACTCCTAAAAATAAAAACCGAGAATATTTATATCAAATCACCTAATAATTGCTCAACTA